GCATATATTCATACAAATCATGTAACACATGCAATAACAAATAAACTTATACATGTACTAATGTACACATTTTCATATAATCACATAGACAATATCACATAACATTTAACTTACGTAATTCATATTACATGGCTTCTATATATATATTCTTATATCTTCATATAAACAAATAACATCTAGATCATCATTCCCTAATTTATATTACATGTTTATATAATCACTTATTCTTATACCACATAGCTTATATTTTATTCTCTTATGTTCACCTAGATCACATAACATATATTATAATGTACCAACATATATCACTTATATAACTTTATTATATAATAATTTCCCTATATTCCATTAGTTCAGTTTTATATGGATCTTATAATCTTTTACTATGGCTTCAAAGATCTTTACCACATGACTCATATATTATAGGTTCATGTAAGAACATAATTATCCTCCTATAGTTTATCTTACATATTCGTATAATTATTTATGCTATTGTTTCCTATTTTATATACTATTCTCCTATTATCCTAAAGATCAATGCTGGTTAGTTTCTCTCACTTTTCCTTTATTATAATAAGTCTATTATACTAGTTTCCTTTAAACTTAACTCATGTAATTTATATCTTGTTACCATATCTTCATCTAAACATATATATATATATATATATATATATATATATACATGTTTTATAATCACTTAGCTCATATTCTTTCTGTTGTTATCAGATAAGTCATTTACTAGTTTATATGATTCGTGATCTTATAACTTATTTTACAAGCTCATATAACCTTTTCATATAGTTTCATAGTTTAGTATCACATAACTTAACTTATATCATATTATCATGTGTTCACATAGATCACATAACACATGTATCATGGGCACTTAGCATGTATCATATAAACATGTATTCTCATGATTAATACTCGCATACTTAACATATAAACATATGCATGTACTCATGTCCACAAAGAAATCATATCAATATGACAATTGCATTCATAGACTCATATAATCTAATAGTGGAAATAGACTCATCGCAAGTCTTATTTCCATAAAACATCCTATACATAATAACATGCACTCACATGGCCTTACTAGTCAATATCGATCTCTTATCTCTTCCTCGATAACTATTACTTGATCAACTGGTCCAGACTTTGCTCTCGATCGTTATCTACACAAATACACAATCAAATAAATATCGAAATTCAAATTACTTGGAAAGATTCTTATTATTTCAAGCTAATCAAAACACTAATCTCTAATTTCGAGCTCAAGTAGTATCGGTACTACAAGAACAATATTGATACCCCTATGCTTGTAGTATCGATACCCTTCCACGGTATCGATACCCAATTTATTTTCTATCATCCTTATTCCAAAATGGTACCGATACTTGTTATATGGTATCGATACTCCAGTATCGATATTGCTCCTTGGTATCGATACTCTTTGAATAATTTATAAATATTTACCTTATGGTATCGATACTATTTAACCAGTATCAATACCCATGCTTCAGTTATCACTCATTTCTCTTTGAAGTATCGGTACTTGATGAACAGGACTGATACCCCCTGCCCAGAATTCATTTATCTTACCCGAAAATCTTACCAAACTTACTTAATTCTTCTACCATAACCTCCTTTTAGTCCTTTAAGCTCAACTATACTTATTCTAACCAACTTAGATCACTTTAACTCATCCCAATATCCCATATCCTACATACACACTTAAATTCTATAATTATGCCAATGAATCAACATGTTCCAAATTCATTTCTAACACTTTGAATTTCTTATTTTGACTGATGACAAGTCAAATTCAACTTAAAAATCCCTTTATTCCTTCTTAATCAATAATCCACTCAAAACTCATTTTACTTAATCTCTTATAACTCATCCATCTTTGAGTTTTTACTTATCTTTAATCTTTCTTAAGCTTTTCTAACACCCAAAGACCAAAAGCTAAACTTAAAATTAAAGTTACAATCAACTTGTAAGAACTCACATTTGAAATACGCTCACGTGAAGTGGAAGAAGAAAAAGCTCCATTCTCCAAACTTTTCATTTCCTTTTTATTCCCATTTCCACGTGTTTATATCCCTTAAAAAGAGAAAATAAAAATCTTCTCTTAGAAAAGACCATAATACCCTTATTACTTTCAAACTTTATTATTAAATCCAACATCAAAATTCTCCAATTATGTCCCTGAACTTTTAACTTATTTTGAAATTAAACGTAAAGTTTTCAAAATTTACATTTTAGTCACTAGCCCTATTTTGGGATGTTACATTTAAATTCTTCGCCATTGATGGATGATAGTCTTGTATGGGCGAAAGAAGGTGATGGGAGGTTTTCAATGAAATCTTGTCTTAAAATTTTTCTTGGAAGCTCGGTCGATAGTTTTCCTTGGGAAATAAATGTGTGGGCTGGTGTAGCTCCTCCTCGAGTTGAATCTTTTATTTGGCAGGTGGTGCACAAGAAGGTCGCAGTCAAGGTTGAGCTAATAAAACGTGGGGTGCAAGGTATAGGAGATCCATATTGTCCGTTTTGTGGGTTGGTTCAAGAAACATTTTCTTACATATTCTTTTCTTGCAAAGTGTCTTGGGGGTTATGGGCTAGCTTTTTGTGCCTGTGGGAGGTTTCCTTTGCAATTCCGGAGTGCCTCGTAGCCTTATTTTAGTTTGGTTTGATCTTGTGCCCCTTTCATGCTTTGAGATTTCATCCCAGGAGCTGTTTTTTGGTCAATTTAGAAAATGAGGAATGATATTATTTTTAATAATGGGAAATTGGATTGCACTTTGCTATCTTTTCTCTCAAGGTACAAAGTGGCATCATGGTTTTCTTCAAAATTTCCAAAATTGTTGGTCTTTTTCGATAGTCTTGTGGGGGATCTTGTGGGCTGATCCAAGATGAGAAAGGAGTGATGATGGGTTCGTTCTCAGAAAGAGTGGGATTCAGTCCTCTTATTATGGCATAATTTATGGCAGTGAGGAAATGATTGAATCTGTTTTTAGATTCAGGGTTGTTAGAGAATCGTAGGCTTATTTTGGAGTCCGATAGTGCAGTGATAGTGGATTGGATAAAAAATCCAGCTAGCTCCACTCTGATGTTTCTATCCATTGTTAAAGATATTACAGATATTGTGGTTAATAAAGGCGTCATTGTTCGTCATGTGGCAAGAGTAGCTAATTGTGAAGCAGATGAATTTGCCAAACAAGGGATTGGTTAAATGGTGGGGAATTTTTTGGGTTATTGATTTTTTATTATTGGTTTTAAACGGGGAGCTTTGGGCATGGTAAATTTTTATATCTGGTCCAGTAATCTAGGAGGTAGTTTTTGTGTAGGGTAATAACATATGCATGTAAGTAGTGTTGTTTTGCACAGTGTTGAGTGGGCTGCCATAGGTTATTTGGTGGCAGTTTGTTCTTATTATACTAGGTTCTTATGCAATAAAATTTCTAAGGCACTCTTTTTCTCATTCCAATGTCCGTTGAGTCTTTGTTGCTTGACGGTTATAAGGGGTTTTTAACAATGCCTTCATTTTTATAAAAAAAATCAGACTTCCTTTCCTTCATTGCAGAATGATGATATTGAGTTCTATGACAACCAATCTGGCTACTGGAAAATTGTCCCAGTGTTGAGCCTTTTGCACCCGTACACAGCTGGAGTAGTGTTAGAATTTTGGAAGCAACTTCAGAGGGTACGGGGAAACTGACAGCTTCTTTAGTTTACTATAATGGACATCATGATACCAAGGAGGTGAAATGTCATTCACTTGCCCTCTCTCTTTTCTTCTGATTGTTTTAAGAAACAGGATTATAGAAAGCGTCAGTATTTTTTCTGATTTATTGTTTTCTGATCAAGTAAAGTTTAGCTTGGAAAAAGTAAGCGGTGAATCTCAAACTATTCTCCTTCTTTGGAAAAAGTTTAGCCCCCACGCACTCCCCAGCCTACTTCAATCATACCTGCACCCGGCACACCCGACCGGAGAAGTCCCCTTAGTTTCGATGAACAATTTCCGCGAACACCACAACTCTTTGTAGATTACGTGAGAAGAACGATAGATGAAACACCGTATTATCGGCAAGAGGGTAGGAGGTTTAATCCTCAGAATACTTACTAAATCTCTATGTATGTATGTATGTATGTACATGCAATACTTATAATCTCAAATTTTATTGGCTGGACGATCGAATCATCTAATCACTAACACAATGAATAAAAATTATTAAATTATTTTTTAAAATATTAATTAATATTATAATAATATTTTTTATATTTTTATAATCCTTAAATAAAATAATCAGAAATTACTAAATTAAAAATTATTGACATGATACCAACTCGAGTTTGAAATGATCAACATTGTATTAATTGAAGTTTAAAATTTCTTTTTTGTTTTCCATGTATTTATATTATTATTAAATTTATGACTGAGTTAGTGTTACGGTAAATTATTTGAACTATCCATAACAAAATAAGTTTTGTTAACAATGTAACGTAAACATCGAGTTGATTAATCTATTGTGTAGGACTACCACTTATATTAAATATAATATACGTACGGAAATACAACCAAGACATTTATATAATTGCAATTGAATAAATTGATAAACAAAATATATCAACATAGACCAGAATAATTTTAGACATGCCCAAATAATGGACTTTATATCATAATAAATTTATATCCAAATTCATGCGTAAATTTTATATTTAAATATCAGTACTATTATCAATTTTTTATTTATTTATAATTTTAAATTAATCTTTTATACAATTTTATATTTTTAAAAATTAATTAATTAATAATAATGTATAATATTATTATTTTATTTGATTGATATTATTATTAATATAATATAAAATCAAATATATTTAAACTATTACTATTTTCTTACAAATAAACAAACATTCTTACACAACCTTGCCTTTTTAGCCAATAATAACCGTCGGTGGTTTCTATTTTTAGCTTCTAATGCTTTCGAAAACTTTGAAATTAAAAAAAAAAATCCCATTTCTAGGGTTCAGCTTTCTTTCTTTCTTTATTTCTTTCCCTGCTCTGCCAATGGACCCTCGAGGCGGTGAACCCCTTCCCGACGCCGAAATCAACGATTTCAATTCCTCTGACGACAGGTATCACCCTCACACCGGCGATGGCGCCAGCCCTGGGTAAATTTCTTTCCGTCTTTTCTGTTTGTTTCCTGAGAAAAAATTGGGGGAAATCGAGGAAAATCTTGAATAATACCCATTGCTTAATGACATTTAAAAAACGTAATTGACTGAAAACTAGATTGGCTCATTCTTTTAATGTATATGTACTTTTAGATTTACTCTGTTTTCCTGCGAATGATAGAAACCTGTGAGTTTAAGTGAAGTGAAAATACCCATTTTTCCTTTTTCTCTTTCAATTTTTTCCTTAAAAAGTTTGGTTTTGCATGTCATTGTAAAATGAAGATGAAAGTGAAAGAATAGGAATTAGGTTCTTCTTTTCTCTTTTGCTTTAGGCTTGTGTAGGATATGTTTTGATATGTTTAGAGGTATTTGTTTCTTTGAAAGGTCACTTTTAGCATGAATACTTTGGAAATGATTTATCATTTATATTCAATATTTGGAAATTTGCAGCAAAATTTTTGTAGGAGGTTTAGCGAGAGAGACAAGTTCTGGTTAGTTCTTTAGCTTGTTTGTTAGAGATTTTTTCTTAATTGCATTGAATATTATAGCACGAATTGCTTCGTCCGTAGTCTGTGCGAATTCGGTTGCTTTATGTATTTTATGCAGCACAATTTCTTGAGCATTTTGGTAGATATGGTGAAATTACGGATTCTGTGATAATGAAGGACCGGAAAACGGGACAGCCTCGTGGGTTTGGGTTTGTAACTTATGCAGAGCCTTCTGTGGTTGATAAAGTCATTGAGGACACTCGTATTATTAATGGGAAACAAGTAAGAATCAGCTTTAGTCTCTATGTTAAATTGATTGTTATGTTTCCTTACTGTAGTCTGGTGTACGCTGCTTCGATTTTGACATGAGGTTCTTTTTTTTTGGCTCAATTTTTGGCCTATTAGGTAGAGATTAAGAGAACAATACCAAAAGGAGCTGGCGGAAGTAAAGATTTTAAGACCAGAAAGATTTTTGTAGGTGGAATTCCTTCAACTGTATCTGAAGGTGATACCGATCTTTTCCTTTCTTTAATGCATATAACATTGAAGCTTGAGGCCATTTCATTTGAAATGTCTTGATTCGTTGTCAATATTTCTTGTAAATGTTAATCTATTTGGTGCAAATTGACAGATGAGTTCAAGGATTTCTTTACACAATATGGAGAAGTCAGAGAACAGCAAATCATGCGAGATCATGCCACCAATCGTTCTCGTGGTTTTGGGTTTATCACTTTCAAAACAGAGCAAGCTGTTGATGATCTCTTGGAGAAGGGAAACAAGATCGACTTTGTTGGTGCTCAGGTATGATGGCAGTCCCATGAACGCTTACCATTTTGCTTTGACGAGTCGATACTTTTAGTCCTTAAAAATTGCTTCTTGATATTCTCCATTATATTAGCTGTTGGTTTTTTTTAGTTTTTACCCGTGAGTTTGAATAAGGTGAATTTAGAATATTTATTATCTTTTGGTTAATTTTGCAAACCCTAAAATGAATCTCATGATGTGTCCTTTTGTCGGCAGGTGGAGATAAAAAGAGCGGAGCCAAAGAAATCGAACCCTCCCCCACCTCCTTCTAAGCAATACGATGATTCTAGGACTGCATATGGAGGTGGATTCGGAGATGGTTATGGTAGATACGGAGGTGGTGGATTTGGTAGTGGTGGTTATAATAGATCAAGTGGTGCTTATGGGGGTCGAACTGGTGGTTATGGGGCCGATGGGGGAGGTGATTTTGGTGGTTATGGAGGTTACGTTGGTGCTGGCAGTGATGGTATAGGGCCTTACAGGGGAGAGCCGTCCCTTGGATACTCGGGTTGTTATGGAGGAAATTTCAACAGAGGATATGACATGGGAAGTGGCTATGGAGGCCCTTGTGAGTTTTATGGAGGCTATGGTGCTGGAGCAGCTGGTGGTGGCTATGGTTATAGCTACGATACTGGAGTTGGTGGTGGTGGTGCAGGTGGAAGTTCCTTCTACGGAAGTAGAGGGGGATATAGTGGTGCGGGTAGCGGTCGGTACCACCCGTATGGAAGATAAAATCTCCGTTGAGATAGAGGTTAAAGAATGTTGTCTGAATTTGTATCATTGTAGCTCTTTTGTGCTATGTTGATTGGTTCTTAGTTTAGTTTCTCTGTTCTTTTTCAGAATTTGAGATTTCAACGTTCAAGGATTTGATCAGCCACTTCACCCTTTTGTTTTAATTAAAAGCTAAACTGTGAGGGCCAAGTGGTATGATTTTATTGACACTAAAATGCAAACTTTACCAATATATATACTGGGTTAGGATTTTCTTACACAATATAATTTTTTATTTTATATAAATTTAAGATAGTTGGATGAGAAAAAATAGATGGGTGAGATTAATTTTATTTATTATCAGGAATATTTTTCACTTTTTATTGTTAATTTTAATCATTTATTTTTATTCATCCAACAGTTTTAAATTTGTATAAAACTAAAAAAGTTTTATATTGTTTAATAGTATTATATTATATATATATATATATGACCTATTTTTTTCAGTTTTTTTTAGAAGAAAGAGAAATATTTATTTTCTCTGTAAAAAGGAAAGATACAAGACTTGCTCCCTTAATATAGTGACACGATTAATATTTGCTTGTGATTGAATTAGGTTAGAGGAAATCTATATTGGGCCATGTATTATTTAGGTTGATTGTCGAATAGGTTATTATAAATAAGAAAGTCGGTAGTCGCTGTAAAATTCTAAAATAATGACATTAGAAAATTATCGAAATGTCTCGGTTTGTACAAAATGAACCCTCTGTATGCTTTTAAGAGTGTTTTGGGTAAGCATTGCACCAATGAAATTAAGGGTCTAAATTATAATCACGACTTTGGTGATGAATAAAAATTGTTGCCATTTCTTGAGGTCTCAGTACAAACATCAGGAATATCAAGGATATGAGCGTTAAATATTAAATGGTTGAAAGTTATTTTTGAACAATTAATACTCTATATTAACTTCAGACTAATCAAAAAAAGAGAGTTCACTTATCACCTCATGAATTTGTTTAACAGGTGTTACAATTTATTTTTATTTAAATCTATATCGTTATAAACAAAAACAATTATGAATTTAAGTATGATATAGATTTTCATTTTTGGTGTTTTTGTTTTTTTAAAGAATATTAGTGATAAATTATTATTACGGTTTAATTTTAAAGGAAGTTAAAGATTCTAAGTTAAATTTGTGGACCTCGTGACATTTTTTCATGAAATATACATTAGATTTGCATTCAATAGGCAAAAAAGTGAATTGATAATTTTAGGGTCCAACAATAATCAACGACGAGGGTTGTTAGCAGTTGACAATGATCAAAAATGATGGTCGAGCGAAGAATGTCGACATGAGAATTTGATTGGATTTATAGATCAATTTGGTAATCTATCTAAAGCTTGGAGGTGAAATTAATATTTTATCTAAAATTTAAGAGTCAAAATAAAACAGTAATTTCTTTTGTTGATTTTTTGTCTTATCAAACTAATGACGTTTTAGTGAACAAACTATTATAAATCAATAATATAAGTTATCAAGTGACCATTTCAATAATTTACTCCTTTTTTTAGAAATAATTAATATTAAATTAACAACAGAGGGGTGTATGATTTTTTTGTTAGGAAGTGAACTTTTTAAAATTTTAAAAAATAATAAACTTATAAAACTTTAATGAAGAACAAAAATAAATTTTCAATAAAAATATATAAAATTTTTAAAATATATAATAATTTTAAATATACAGAAGGCCCTATTAGCCTCCTCATTCCATCCTCAAAAGCAACATTTTTCCCATTGGCTATTGAGATAAGTAGAAATAATGGGAGGTGGAAGAGAATGATTGCATACATTGCACACTGAAAATGATACTTGTAAACATGTCCTTTTCCCCCTTGGATGACAATAATGGGTCCCACTAACCACCTACTCTTACACGTGTCTGTATCAGGAATCGTGACAGAGACGACGGTTGCCATGGTCAAAACATCCCCCTTCGCCTCCCTAGGGAAATTGGTCACCGTCGGATCTTCATAAATTTCTGTAATGGCCCCAATTCAAAATGAACCGTAAAAGAAAAATAAGATTTTATCCCTAATTTTTTTCTCCAAATAAGAGAAAATTACACAAATCAAACAATCTAATTGGATAAATAGATGGTTATTTTCCCTAAACATTTCGAATTTAAACACAACCTTTGTAGAGATGTTCATTTTCAAATTATTAAGAGTCTTTCAAACAGATAATACTTTATAATTACCGCAGACTAATAAAAATAATAGAAAATTATCGACACTATCTAATAAAATGTTTAAAATTATAAGATAAAATTATAAAAAAATTCAAAAGGTTATAAATGAGTTAATTAGTTGATTTCTTTTAATAGTTTAGAATTATTACAATGTAGTATCTATTCAGAACTTTATTAACCTATTGATATTAAACAATCTCATAGACGCAGCTGCTCGAACCTATAACTTCGAGGGAAAACAACATTTCCTTTTACCACTAATACCACTTGATGGGTTCAATTAGTCAGATTGTTATAAATAAGTTATTCAATCTTTAAAAATGAAACGTATTGTAACTAAAAAGATTAGTGTTTGTTATACATTTAATAATGTAGCGGGTTTGTAACACTCATTTTTTAAAATTCAATGACTCATTTATAATGTTATTAATAATTGAGTGGCCTGTTATATATTTTATCTAAAATGACATAATTAATGAACTATTTTTTAAAATTTAATATATTAATATATATAGTTTAAAATTTAAAATAATTATTAAAAAATATTATCCAAAATTTTAGGATTTAATTAATCATTTTTCCATTCAATTAGAAACGCAAATAGAATGTAAATATAATCAATGTATTTGGGGTGGAAAATAGATAAAAAATTCATACAAGATATTTATGCATAATAAAATTCGAATGTGAATAATTGAGATTCCATGTGAGAGCACGAACCCAGTGATCTCATTAGTAAATGAATTGTTGTTGTGTCTTGAGGTCTTATGTTTGAACACTAGGAATTTCAAGGGTATGAGCATTCAATGTCAAAACATTAAGAGTTATCTTTGAACAAATATTAACTTATATTTATCCCAATTAATAAAAAAAATTCATGTGAGATTTATAAAAGTTTGACTAAAATGTAAATTATATATATAATTATATAAAATTAAAATCTATTTACATTAAATAAAAAAGTAATATATAATCTTAAGATGTATTGTTTAATGAAAGTAATGATTATGACTGGTGATTACAAACAATATAATTTAGAAATAAGATTATAAATACATAACATTATTATGATACAAATAAATGAGTAAATTACCTTATTGGTCATTAAATTATTATACCCTTTTTACTTTGTTCATTGATTATTTTATAAATTCGTTATCAATATTACATTTTTTTTATTTTGATTACCAACAGTTAAAATTTTAACAAAGATGATGATGTGGTATGATATAATAAAAGTTTTAATTTATAAAATTTAAATATTCGACTAATTAGATCCTAATTCGAAATAACTCATCAAATATTTTAGTCAAAGCTTATTTTTCTCATATTCTATGTATCATTTTTATTCCACTTTTGCTATTTCTCTCAACTAAGCTCATAAACCAGTGATACTCCTATACATCGATCGTCAACGACTGTCATCGTCACATATTATTAAGTCCTAAAATTTACCTACAACCACGTCTCATCCTCAACTTTTTTATCGAAATATCTCTTGTATACCGAATAATTACATGTCAGACACCCTCTCTCCTAATATTATCGATCTAACACATTTTCTGACAAAGTGTGAATCGTCATCCACGCTTTCGTGGGGTTCTGTCTAAGCAGGATAGCGATCCACTCCTTCGCGGATTTCTGACACGTACGTAACGCGCAGATAATAATCTGCGCCGTCTATTATGCACGTTGAATTATTGGTACTCCATTATTACTCGAGTAACTTGACTTTTAAACTCTCTCCTCCCCTATAAATAAGAACTCCCTTTGAATGCAAATGTCACCACACCAAAATTACTTTCTTGTTTTTTTGCTTTTATCAATTCCTTCTATTTTTGTTGTAAGGTAAAACTATTTTTAATTTTTTATATTTATTTTATATATGATTATTTGAATAACTTTTAGGGGCTGTTTGGTTCAAGGAATGTGGGATTCCCATGAGAATGGAATCCACATTCCCATGTTTGGTTGGCCGGGAATCTCATTCACGGTAATGTTATATTCCCAATAGTAGATTTTTTGGGGTATATTACCGGGAATGTCATTACCTTCCTTTCCTTAGGTATTGTTGGATTACTGACGTTTTGGACTAAAATGCCTTTAAAATTTATTTTTTTTCAAAAATATATTTCTTCTGTCATTGAATAATAAAAATTCTACAAAGGTTAAATTACAAATTTATCCTTAAAGTATTTTAGATTTACAAAAAAAATCTATAATTAAAATTTTATATGAAGTTCAGGGGTTAAAATAAAATTTTACCCTTTCATTAAACCTTTTTATATTTTCAATTTTGTAAAAATATATATATAAATTTTATGAATTTAATTTTTTTAAAGAAAATATATAAATATTTTCCAACTTGTTAAAAAAACAAATATATAATAAGGACAATTTGGTCAAATATACATTCCAATAATATTTTATTCCTTTAACCAAACACTGTAATATTATATTCCTGCTAAACTAACCAAACACAAAATACAACATTTACAGTAATTCTATTCCTGGTAATCATACATTATCACTGGTAATCTTACATTCCGTGAACCAAACGCACCCTTATTGTGATAATTATTTTTTATTATTTTTTTCGGTTGTAAAATTAGAAAGTGGGATCATACCTCGAGACATTTTTGTGGATACGAAAACAATATGAAATTATATTATTTAAATTATTGTGAAAATTTTTAATTTTTTTCGATTAGTTTATATTTTAATTAATTTACTAGTTATTTAATTAGGCGTATTTCAACTATTCTTTTTGCATATATAAGACTCTCTATCTTTCAAACTCTCAAAATGATGTGTATTTCAACTATTGTTTACTATGATGGAGAAATTCGGGATGGAGAAATTCGGGAAGATGAAATCGATGTCGTCTTCGTATCAAATCATTCTGTTAGAATATCCTTCAAGAGAAACATCACTCTTGAGGAGCTGATAACAAAAATTTCAAGGAAAGTTCATGTTGAAAGTACTAGAAGATTGTCCTCACTTCAGTACAGATTTCCAACTGTAGTATTT